GGATCTGCTCACTTAGGATGAGCTCTTGTCTTCTAGGACCTACTCATCTAGGTCGAGATCTTGTCTTCTGGAATCTAAGATCTACCCACTTAGGACGAGCTCTTATTTTCTCGAACCTATTCATCTAGCCCAAGATTTTGTTTTCTAGGATCTGAGGTCTGCTCACCTAGGTTGAGCTCTTGTCTTCTTGGACCTATTTATCTAGGTCGAGATCTTGTTCTCCAGGATCTTGGATCTGCTTAACTACGGTGAGCTTTTGTCTTCTCAAACCTATTCATCTAGGCCGAGATCTTGTCTTCTGGGATCTGGGATCTGCTCACTTAGGTTGATGTCTTTTCTTCTCAGACCTACTTATCTAGGTTGAGGTCATGCCTTCTTGGATCCACTCACCAAGGGTGAGGTCGTTTAGCTGGGATCTGCTCACCTAGTCCGAGCTACTCCATCTGGGATTTGCTTCACCTAGGCCAAGCTCTTTTATCTGGGATCTGCTTCACCTAGGTCGTGCTCTTCTATTTGGGATCTACTTCACCTAGGTCGTGCTCTTCCATTTGGGATCTGCGTCACCTAGGTCGATGTCTTCTCTTCTCGGATCTACATATATAGGTCGATATCTTATCTTTTAGGGTCTAGGATCTGTTCACCTAGGATGAGCGATCTTGTCTTCAAGGATCTAGGATCTGCTTTCTAAGAGTGGGCTCTTGTCTTCTTGAACTTACTCATCTTGGCCGAGATCTTGTCTTCTAGGATCTGAGATGTGCTCACTTAGGCTGAGCTCTTGTCTTCTCGGACCTATTCATCTAGGTCGAGATCTTGTCTTTTGAAATCTGGGATCTGCTTACTTAGGTTGAGCTCTTGTCTTCTTGGACCTCTTCATCGAGGCTGAGATCTTGCCTTTTGGGATCTGGGATCTGCTTAGTTAGGTTGAGCTATTGTCTTCTCGGACCTACTCATCTAGGCCGAGATCTTGTCTTTTGAGATCTGGGATCTGCTCACTTAGATTAAGCTCTTGTCTTCTCGGACCTATTCATCTAGGTCAAGATCTTGTTTTTTGGGATCTGAGATCTGCTTACTTAGGTTGAGCACTTGTCTTCTTAGATCTACTCATCTAGGTTGAGATTTTGTCTTATGGAATCTAGGATCGGTTCACATAGGTTGAGCTCTTGTCTTCTCGGACCTGCTCATCTAGGCCAAGATCTTGTCTTCTGGGATGAGGAATCTACTCACTTTGTTTAAGCTCTTGTCTGCTTAGACCTATTCATTTTGGTTGAAATCTTATTTTCTAGGATCTAGAATTTGCTGACCTAGGTTGATCCTTCCATACTTGAAGGTCGTCTTCATCTCCTCGGGAGTGCTTATGCCCCCTATCATTGCATTCATCTCTTCTGGAAGGGTCTTTATTCTGTCAATGTCAACAAGTTCTCCATCTTCGCTGAACTCGTCGTCACTGACATGTTGATCTTGCACGATGATGGTCATCTATTCCAACTAAATTCCTACAGATGGTGCCTAATTGTGGGTGTTGATTTTTTAACTTACAGCCAAACAGATTTCCTTCCGAGATCTAGGAAACTTAGCTGGAGAGCACGTGGCAGAATAGATTAAGCCAACACCTGCGCACAAAAAGACAAGAAATACCGCGGTGGCTCGTCCACTCGGGAGCACTCCAATGATCAAGTCAGTCAACTTATCTCTTAAAGATATCAACACAAGTACACAATTCACAATCAAAAAGCATACCTTATACCTACGGGGTGCCTTACTTTTATAGCCAGCAGTATCCGCGTCCTCTAAAAGTCTTACTTCATAGGACTCTATCCTTACAAGAATATCATTTATCTAAGACTCCTCTTATTTAGATTAGGATTAACTTTCTTATGAGTCCAATCTTACCCAAACAAGTAGTCTAACATCATTTAGGACTCTTTTCATTTATCCGAATATCTCGAATTCTGACATTATCGCACCATATCTTGGCAATATCACATGAACCTCGGCATTATGGCTCGCCCATATGGCACCTCAAAACATGAAACCTTATTTTGCATAAAGTATAAAACCTTTTCATATTTGATTTGTAACTCGATAGGTAACAAATAAAAAATAAATACAAAATTGACTGGTTAATAAACACCTTGTCAAAATTTTCAAATAATTAAGAAATATAATTTATAGGGTGAAGCATCAATAAATTTCAAAATGTGATCTTGTAAATTGTTTAGTTCTCCTTTTTTCTTATGAGACCAAATGTCCCATTAAAGTGAAAATTATATAAAAGGATAGTCACTTATATGTTTGAGTTTAATTTTTTAGGAATAAAAATAGGTTTATTAAAAAGTAAAATTACACATTTGGGTAATTTGTACTATAGAAGTTTTGGATTTTTCCTTATTCTAGAACAAATCCCACGTTACGAACAAAAACCTAACACTTTAATGTAACTTTCCAATAACGTAACACACTAAAAAACTCATTGGTGTACTTTTCCCAAACGTAATAACGTAACACTCAAAAAAGACTCTTTGGTATACTTTTCTCAAACGTAACACTCCAATGTAACACAAAAAAAAAAAAAAAAATTCATTAGTATACTATTCTCAAACGTAACACTCCAAAAAAATGAGATTCTTCAAACCATTTCAGTACAAAAATTTCTTAATAAGTTTTGAGCAAATGTATAATTTCAAATTATGAGTGCTACATTTGAAAAAATTATATTAAAGAATGTTTTAGTATTTGTATGTGTGTTACATTTTATCCACCCAAAGAAAAGTGTCACATTTGGAGTATTATGTTTAGAAAAAGTATACTACTGGAGTGTCACATTTAAGAAAAGTACACTAAGATTTTTTTTTTTTTTTTTTTTTTTGTGTTACATTGAGTGTTACATTTGGGAAAAATATACCAAAGAGTTTTTTTTGTGTGTTATATTAAAGTGTTACACTAAGGAATTTTGTTGGAGTATTATATTGAAGTGTTACGTTTGGAGAAAATACATTAAGGAATTTTTTTGTGTGTTACATTAAAATCTTACACTAAGGAGTTTTTGTGTATTACATTAGAGTATTACACTAAGGAGTTTTTTTAAAGTATTATATTAGAGTGTTATATTTGAGAAAAGTATACTAAGAAATTTTTGTGTGTGTTACATTAGAGTGTTACACTAAAGAGTTTTTTTGGAGTGTTATATTAGAGTGTTATGTTTGGAAAAAATACACAAAGGAATTTTTTTGTGTGTTACATTAGAGTGTTACAATAAGAAACTTTTTTGTGTGTTACATTGAGGGAGTTTGGTGTGGATTATAGAAGCTGATTATAGCTTATTTTAATTTGGAAAATTATGCCAGACTATTTGGTTGAGTTTTTGCTTACAGCTTTTTAGGCAGAAATACCTTAAATACGCTGAGAAAAGCTGATTATTTAGAAGCTAGGGAAGGGGTGCGTTTGGTTTCTGTTTTCTGATTATCAACTTTTAGTTTACAATAAGCTGCACCAAACAGGACCATCAGAATGTTACACTAAGAAATTTTTTTGGAGTGTTACGTTTGAGAAAAATACAATAATTAGTTTTTTTATGTGTTACATTAGGATATTACACTAAGTTTTTTTTTAGTGGTTGTTTGGGATGTCCTAAATAAGAGCACTTTTTGTCTTTTTGGACTAAAAAGTTGAGAAAAAAAAGATGGATGTTTGGATTAACTTTTTGACTTTTTACGAAAAAATATGTATTAAAAAATTGTATAAATTAGTGTGTAGGAAAGTTTTGACAGTGTAGACTGTGAGGTGACAACAAGGTTTGCAGAGTGGTGTAATAAGAAATGGTTGCCTTCTTTTCGGGCAACCATTTGGACGGTGTTCTTTGGCTAGTGGGGGTCCACCACGGGTCCCGTTTTGCTAATCGAAACCGTTCAATGTGTACAATTCGTCGAGTATTATATGTTTGTAAAAAATCACGTTGATCGGATTGGATTAATTTTTTTGTCAAACGTTAACTATAACACCATCTATTTTTTATACAAATCTGATTTGTTATGTAGTTAACGATATCCGATCAATGTGATTTTTTACAAGCATATAGTACTGGACAAGTTTTACACATTAACAGTTCGGATTATCAAAATGGGACTCGTGGTGGGCTCCCACAGGCCCAACATTACCGTCCAACTTAGTGAATATATATATGTAATTTTTTTTTGTTCCTTTTACGATACTTTCCTATCAATTTAGTACCAGGAACAGTGTAAAGTTAGTTTGTATTAAAATATTATGTATATTAATTTTTTTATACTTTTAATTTGTGAATAGTGATGACTTATTTGCTTTTTGGATTTTTTCTAACATCCCAAACCATGCCTTAGTATTACATTGGAGTTTTATGTTTGAGTGTTACATTAGAGTATTACAGTTTGAAATTATACATTTGGCCAAAACTTACTAAGTAGTTTTTGTACTTCTTTTGAAATATTTGAAAAATCCCACATCCTTGTAGAATATTTGAAGAATCCTATATTTTAAGTCATTTTTATATTTCTTTTAAAATGTTTTCCAAATAAAAAAGGTTTTTATATAAAAATTCACCCCAAATTTGATTATCATATATTGTGTACCTTACCTTTTTAACACAAAAGAAAGGAAAAAAAGAAAAAAGAAAAAGAAAAGAGAAGGAACATAATAGAAATAAGAGTATATCCATAAATCAAATTTTAAATAATATATTAAATCTACGTTTTCAAATTTATGAGACTAATTGGTCTATAAGAAAATCTTTAGGACTAAATGGATCACCATTCCTCAAGAGAGAATTTATAGGTAAATTTTTCCAATTTATATTGGTTAAAAAACGCCCAATCAAAATTTTTAAATAATTAAGCCACATAATTTCTATAAATTTCACAATAGACAAAAAATATATATTTGAATAGAAAATTTTTACCATATACACCTTAGATGAATTTGATTATAACTAAAATAATAAACGCAATAAACCGTTAAAAAAAAAAAAAAACTCTTAAACCCTCATAAATTAAATATCACAAAAGTCATAATCACAGTACATATATGTGTTTTATAAAAAATTTCATTTGAATATCACCCAAAAGAAAAAATGAAAAATACAAATCAATTATGAAGTATAATCTCATTCCATTGCTGATTTGTCTGATCATATTCACTCAACCGAAAAGCTTTGGACCCACCTTAACTGACAATAATTGCAAAAATTATATGCATGTGCAACACAATCTGGTCACAATTTTACTGAGCTCTAGATTCCAATGGCGATGATGTTGACAAGTGGTGCTTTTTTTGAGACATGTATGATGCACATACATGCTGAGCTGGCATTCCTATCGCATCCTCCACCGTCCGATCATTCCAACCAACTCTCATGCCTTGATTCAACCGTTGGATGAACCCTTTCTTGTACACCTCGCAATAATTCAAGAAATGTGCCACGGCTCTAGGATTCTCATCCTTCCAGCAAATGTTGTCAGATTCCGGCTGATTGCCACCGCCGGAGAAATCTTCCGCCGCCGCACCACCACCCAACCCAGCTAAGCCACTGATGTATTCAACCATGCCATCGATGAGAGACTTTGGAGCATTATTATTATAGAGCCATACACGTGACATGCCATTTTGGACTGCCCTTAACATGGCATGGTCAACATTAGTCTCTTCCATGAATATTGAGGGGCTTAAAAGAAGAACAAATTCATGATCCTTCAAGGACTCAACCATGACCATGTGGGTCAGATTCCGGCTGGTGAGCCCGAGGGTGACACGGTTGACTTGCTTCTTGGGTTGTGTAGTATTAGGATTGGGATAAAGAATTGTTTCAACAAATTTACTTGTTTTGAGTACTAACCTTGTAGCTTTGTCGTTTGACACGTATAAGAGGTCGAATTGGCGGCGGGCGGCGGAGTCGGCCACGGCGTTGTTTTGAATATTGATTTGAAAACCTTTGGAGGCTTCATGGTTTGCCCATAAAGAGAGAACGCCGACCACGACGATGAAGAAAAGTCGGAGAATGATTTTGGAATTGGATGAGACCAATTTGATGTTATCATCATCAGAAGGGTTGGTGGTGGTTGGGACATCAACGGTGGCGGCGGTGATGGTGTTAGGGAGGAGGGGATGAAGGAGGTGGTAGTCCTCCATGTTGAGAGAAAGAATGAGAGATTGAGTTTAGTGTGTTCTAGAAATACAATTGACAATGAATTGTCATGAAGCATAATAACCTGCGCCCATACGTTTGGTTGAGTGGACCATATGTGTCCAAAAATTATTTATTATTTTTGGAGCCACTTCAATTAGTTTTCAAATTAATACTAATTTGGCAACACATTAAAAGAGATGAGCTTCTTGGAGAGAAGCAACCGAATGATTGAAAGGTGCTTCTCTCCATTTAAAAATAAATTACCTTAATAATTATTTTGTAACTTTTTATTTGTAAATCTTCTCAAAAAAAGAAAAAAGAAAAAAGAAAAAGAAAATATTAATAATTTGTTTCGAAATTTTTTGTTTTAGTCTATCACTTTTGATGAGTTTCCTTTCCCTAGTTGTAGCCTCTTAATTAATGTCAAGCGAGAACATAAATTTTTTATTTCATATTAATATGTATACATACAAGAAGTGAACCAAAATTTAAAAATAATAATAATAATAATTTGACAATATAGGTTTAATAAAATAGATTAACCAATTTTTTTTTTTTTATATAGATTTATAGTTATTACAGACGACCAAAATGGTTATGCACATATTAATTAGGCAAATTACACCTGTATTTCTAAAGTTTGGCCATTGTATCTATTAGTTGACTTTCTAATTATAATATATTTGATCTTAAATTTTAAAATTTGTATTAATTAATTTTTAGTCAGTCTGTATCCACTATTAAAGTGTGAACAAATATATGGAGACGAATGAATGTGTATGTGATTTACCCATATCTACCGAAACTATAGTTAAAGTATGAAATATTACAAAAATACATCAGATCACATATTGTCCGACTAGACTCTCATCTCATCCATTACCTGTTTGTTTCCACTTAATCTCTGGAAATCGATTCCTATGTTTATCAACACACTTTCTTGCTTATTTGTGCACGGCATCATCACTTTGCCTTGCTGGAGTACTCATCTTGACTTGGGTTGGAATCTGATGCTTCGCTGGAATTGATACAACTGGGCTGCTTTGTTGGGTTCTAACTGGGCTACTGCAGCCTTGCTTAAAAGCAAATACTAACAAGCGTCCATGGCCATTATTTAATGTTGAGGACGGTGTAAAAAATATTTTAAAAGATATTGATTTCAATAAAAGTGCATAATGTTAGTGAAAAATTTAGTGTTTTAAAAATATTTTGTTTGCACTTGTTAACAAGATTCAATATTAAAAAGAAAAATGATTGAGACACTTAATTTATCACTATTAAAAATTACCCTAAATGATGTGTTTGACAAGTGTCGAATTTTAATTTGTCAAACATATTCATCATATGGAGTCTAATCTCAATGTTATAAGATTATTTAAAAGTAATAAATTAGAAGAATGTAACATTATTGTATTAAAAAATGCTCTAAACAATAAAAGTCATCCAACTACCAAGCGAAACACCAAGATATATTTTAATGCTTCCATGCAATTATTTAATCTATTTTCATGTAGATTCTAATTTCTTTTATTTTTTCACTAAATTTTTGGAATACTAATTAAAAATAAAAATAAATAGAATAAGACAACATAAATTATGAAATAGGTCTAACAAAATGTAAACTAAGAGTACAAAATACACATTATAATGCACCCATCAAATATTTCAAATCAAAACTTTGCTGGCCCTCAATTAAATAAATAAATAAATCAAAAGTTAGGAAAATAAAATCTATTTTCACAAGTCTCTTAATTACATTTAGTAGTAACAAGACTTTCGATTTCTAAGTTACCTTATATAAATGTGTATAGTCTTGTGACGGTTTATTATAAATATACTCACAAAATTTAAAATTCTACACCATTAAACTCCTAGAATCTCCCTGATTCAGATGCACAAAATTCAAGAATAAAACTTTCACCAAGGATCCTTTAGAGTGAAATTTTCCTAAAGTTTCCTAGAGTGCTACATTGTGTGGTTGAGATTTACTGGCAAGTCACATTCAAGGATCCTCTAGAGTGATTTTTCCCTAAAGTTTCCTAGAGTGCTACATTGTGTGGTTGAGATTTACTGGCAAGTCACATAGAGGATCCTTGCTCTAAAACTTTGAATCCAAATATACCTTGACAAAAAATTATTCAAAATTTAAAATACTATATCCTATTCTATCCAAATTCTAGAGTGCGTCAAATTTTTTTGTCAAAATAAATACAACCTCACTCTCAAAATAAAATATAACCTAAATCCCTTTTCGAAATATGCTTCAACTCAATTCTCATAGGATATTTCACTCAACGAAAAGTCACTTTGAAATGGGAGCTAAAATTACTCTAAATATATGGGAACAAAATGAGCAATGGTAGAGGGTCACAAAAAGTGTGGTTCAAATGGCTCAAAACTGTCAAAACGACGTCGTTTTGGGCATAAAACGACACAAAACGATATCGTTTTAACAGTTTTAAACCATTTGAGCCACACTTTTTATCGCCCTCAAACATTTTTCGAACAAAATATCTTGTACAAAGTACTTAAAAAACACAAATAACAAATAGTCTCATTAAAGGGATGCAAAAATTGTGAATCAATTTTTTTTTCATACTATTACCCCCATTCATCATATATCCACACCCATATCATATGAAATGAATCTTTTATTTGGTTGTAATGAAAAGGTAAAGGTAAGATGGAAAAAATTAAAAGCGCATAGGTGATATAATAAAATTGAATATCTGAAAACTAATTGAGATAAGAACAAATATGATTAGGGTACAAGTGTAAGTGATCCTCTTTTTCCTTCACAACTACACAATTTTTTTACCCTCACATATTTTTTTTTAAACTACCTTTCTCTTTCAATCTCTTTTTTAATTTTTCAATCAAATTTGCCCTTTTCTTTATCCACACTTCAAGTATAATGTTATCTTGGTTTTCAAATGAAAATTTTATGAGAATTGCTGCCCAAACTATATACTCTTTTGTGGTTCATGCTAAATTGTTTTCCTACTTCAACTATGTTCAGTAAAAATAAAAAAAAAATTCACTATCTGCTGCAACACCTTGGACCAATTTTCTCTTTCACATGGAAGCAATCCTGTCTTCAATTTTTATTTTATTTTATTTATTTATTTATTTTTTTTACACACTTTTGAGTGGGAAATAGGAGAAAGGCTGTCAACGATATTCATTTCAACATATTGTGCTTTCATTTGTGTCCTTCAATATCACAAACCAAGATTCTCCTTTCATATCCTTCACAAAAACAATCTCAAAAACCTCATGGGCTTGTCCCAAAAATCATATTATTGTTCTTGGATTACAAATAAACAAAGGTGAACTATATTTCTACAAAACCAAAAAAAAAGAAAGCAAAGAAAAAAAATCTCAATCTCTTTCTCATCCTCTCTCACATCTATATCATTTACAAAACATGTTTTGAAATCACCATCAATTTAAAACTAAAGCCTTCATATTTATGTCCCCTACTTAAATCATCATTTTGACATCTATACCTTCGTTGGTCTAGTAAAAAAAGCCAACTTGTCAGCAACCAAGCTAATTGCCAACCCATCTTGAAGAAAAAAGTGTGTGATTGTAGTTTTCCATATGATTTTATAAGTGATTTTTGGCTAGCACCATGGTGATCATGAGACATGCTGAAATGAAGAAATATGGACTTCTTGGCGCGGTGGCTGATGAACCTGTGGGGTTCGAAGGTCCTCCGCCAAAAACTGTTGATCCGCTTGAATTTGTTGTGTTTAAAACCGATGAACTCGTGCTGTATTTTGAAAAACAATAAAATCAGTTTTTTCTTTCTCTGTTCAATTTTGCAAATTAGAAATAATAGAGTTAGATGTGAAAGGAAATTAACCTTGTTGATGGATATTGACATGTCCCATTACCTGAACAAAGTAAGGAAACATAAATTAAACAAGAAAACATGAAGCACATTTGAATACTACCAACAATAACTGGAGAAAAATTCATTTTACCACTAAAACTAACTCTAAAAAATTAATCGTACTTCTGTTCTTTAGTTGGCCTTTTGCCTATTAAAAAAAAAAATTCCAAAAACCACTTATAAAACAAGTCATACGCTTCAGTCATTCACGTTTTATAAAAGTCATTCCTAAACACATTAACTTTTTTTCACCTCATAAAAAACGTAAAAAGTCACTAAAATAAGTCAAACCCCAAACACAAATATATCAATTTTACACTTCAAATTGGGATTAATTTGACTTCTACCGTCACCTGTCGTGTACAATTAAACGAAATTTGCTAACTTGTCCTCCCAAACTCTTCTTAGGAGAGGAAATGATGTGTTTTCCACCTATATACAACAACTCCACACATGACGGACTATCCTAATTTCAATTTGGAACCTTAATGAAGAATCCTAATATAATCCACACTTATGGGTGTCCCTCAGGTGTAAGGTTGTTGTACATAGGCATGAAATACTTCATTTTGCCTTCAGATTATAGGGGGTGACATGGATAAAATTGATCTCAATTTAAATAGTTTACGGTAAAATGACAATCAAGACATATATCCAGAACAAGAAGTGGCTGAAGCAAGTAATGTGTATCATATCAGATGGCATTTCTCTTTCTCAAATATGATTCAAAACACAAATAACCTGGCACATGTTGGCATTAAGACGATGACTTACTTGGGTCAGTGCTAGTAATAACAGCAGTGCCACCAAAATTACAGCTATTAGGGACTGGATTTTTCTGATAGTAGCTATTGAATGCGTAAGAAGCGTGGCTGTGTGGCGTATCCGGGTTGTAACATCTGCCACCGGGCTGAATTGCTGAACAGTCAGCGCCACCGTACCCACAGGCATAGTCTAAAGCAACCTGTAATGCAGTTTGTGACGCAGATTGGCTTGCAACACACCAGCTTCCACTTGAAGATACCGGGGATGATGATGTTGTGGTCGGTGTCATGGCTGGATTGGTGATAGCTGGTGAGTCTGGGTTTGAAACTGCCGGGTTAATAACAGGAGGAGGATTAGTGGTTATTGTTGGAGTAGAGGGATTTGTTGTAGGGACGGTTGGTAGAGGAGTGGTAATATCTGCTTGGGTGGTGGAAATTGAACCTGAAATTGAAATAGATTTCAGATGAATTCCTGACTTTTCAAGCACAAAATATTGCTTCCGTTTTAGTAACAATTAGTAAATTACTAGAGAAATGGTTGATAAATCATTAGTTTATCATCATCATAGCAGCCTAAATCATTAGTTTTTTAGTAATTTTCCTTGTATTTCTTTGATTCTGTCTTGTTAATTAAGGAATTACCAATTCCGATTGTTTCCTAGTATATTATGTTTGTATTTATTATTAGTAATTATTCTAGGTCTTAGGGCTTCTAAGTTTTTGAGAATTAATACAATTTCGAGTGTATACTCTATTTTCAACTTTGGATACTCTTTGAGAATCAACAAATCGAATTGAAAGGATTAATTTCGAAACTGAACTTATTTAAGTTTCAAATTCACCATATTATCAGGTCAGATATAAAAAAGACCTATCAATTAAAGAATTAATATATTTCTATATGCTGATATCTAATTAAAGGCAATTCAGGCTATTAGAGATTAAGCATATAAAAAAAAACACAGAATTTGCAAATATTTCAATTATGAATCACTGATTAATAAATTTCATGAACCAAACAGAGCTTTTGATCTAGGACAGAAAACATGAACCCAGATGAAAGGATCAAATGCATTTCCAATAATTTCCAAGTAATTTCAAACTGGGGAAAGATGCATAGCGAAGACGATGACTAAACATGTCATACTTTTGATACAAATTGAAGGCATAATTTACTAAGATTTAAGTGTGGATAATTTTAAATCAACAAAAGCCATCATTAAAATTTCAAATATGTTAAAAATAGTCATTCAAAAGCATCATCATGAATGTGAATAAAAGAGCAATGATTTAAAACAGGGGAAACAGAAACTAGTAGTACTGCCCACTTGGAAAAGCAATCAAATTCAAAAATCCACAGGAAATCAACAAGAATTTCAAAATTCAAAAACATGACTTGTTACAAGAAATGTAGGTTCCAATTACATATATTTCAGAAAATAATATTTAATTGCAAGGTAGCTTAAATGAAGAGCGGGTGGGTATATTCCCAGGTGAGAAAAGAGAATAAAAGCATTTGGAATCACAATCTCATAATTGCAGAGAGTAAGATACCCATATCAGAAATCAAACAATGAAACAAAGAAAAACCAGATTGGAGAGAGTCATGATAGTGAATTCAAGACCAAGAAAGTCACCTGAACAAAGAAAAACGCCCAAGAGGATAAGACAATGAACAATCCTTGTACCCATTCTCTTTCTCCAAACTTCAAGCCTTCTTCTTCTTTTGTTGTTGTATTCTGCTTCTGCTATTTCTGCTTCTGCTTCTGCTTCTGCTTCATCTCTTTCTTTGGACTATTTTTCAAATCTATGTTTGGCTTTTACTTCTCTTTCAAACAAAGAAAGACAATCCAATATATATCTCAAACAAGAGGAACATCATTACCTTGTTGAAAAGTTGAGGACTTTGTATCCTCCATGGTATTTTTAAAATATATCTTCATGACTAACAGCTTAGAGAGAGAGAGAGAGGAGAGAAAATTATTCCAGGTTACATGTGACAATGTTACAAACAGATCTGGACCATTCATTGATGTAGGTCCCACGTGAGCTCCACATCAATTAACTGGTCAAATATGTTTATGAAATAGCCATATTATTGCCACATAGAACAGTGAATAATTGTTTGAGCTAGAAAGAGTGAAGAGAGAATAAAAGAAAACTTGAGAAAAGAGACATGGAGGTGGTGGTGCAAGCAAGAGAAGGTGCAAAAAGGTGGAAGGAAGAGAGGGGAAAAGAAAGCAGAAGAGGGAATAGTTTGGAATTAGACTATGGGGAGTGTGGGGTTGTGAATTGAAGCAAGTGATGATAGTAATGATGGTGATGATATGTGTGGATTTTACTTTAATCTTTTTGGTGCTTCTACTTTTCACCACCTCATGGGACTATTTTAGTACCCAATAGCCAAAGTTGGCCAAGCACAGTAGTTCTAGTCCCTGGTGACTTGGGTGTGGCAACCCATCTCATATTCAATCCCAAGGAAATTCTAAAGTTCCCTTGTGTTAGTGGAGCTTCTTCTGATCTGAAAATTGATAATTAAAAAATAAAAGTTAAAAATATTATTTTTTTATATTTTAATAATTAATTTTTTTCTTTAACTTATATATTATTTCTATCTTATAAATTGTAATAAGAAATTACATCAAACATTTTGATATAATTTTTCAAAATAAAAAATATTATAAGTCGTACCAAACATGCCAATTTATTCTTTCAATAATTGTAAATGTGGGAACAAGCATGTCATTAGAAGAAGAGGATTTCACAATTTGTCTCTAGGTGGTGGTGCCCAAAACTCATGAAAAGTGACAATCAAGAATTTTCCTTTTGTTTATTCCCTTTATTTTTTCTTTTGTTGGGTTGTTATGTGACCGTGACGACCAAGTGCATAGTCCACAAGCATCATGCTTTTGCAATTTTTTTTTTTAATTCTTAATTTTTTTTTTTTGGAATTATCAGGATTTTCCATTTGGTGAAACTATGTAGTCAAATGTTTCCTTCAAGCCAGGAGAAGGTAATGGATCCTCCTGTTTATGCTGCATGGTTTTGCACATAGTGCAAGACACCTCTCCCACCCCCAACTACTTATGTTTGACCTAAACCATAAATTTTATTTGTTTTTTTGACAATAATTGAGCGAAGAATAAAATAAGAGAAATTACACTCAAACTGAAAAGATTCAAAATTAGATATCATGGGGTAAGAAACCGCCCCATTTATTAGGGTAACTCCTTAATCTCACTAGTCATAGATCAAAGGCAAACTAGTTTCACCCCTTGATCTCACTAAAATAAAATCAAAAGCAAAATAGTTTACAAATATGACTTTTTCTCAATCCACCCATTATTGTACACAAGAGTCTTGCAGTGAACTTTACCCCATCTGATAAATATCCCTACTATTTATTTATTTATTTATTTTTGAAAAACATATGAGATTTGGTGGTTCCATTCCCACTTACCCAGTTTGCTTTCTCACGCAGTCCACAAAGTCTAAACCCTGACCAACTATTCCAATCTGTCGAGACTACATTTTATTTTTCTTATTTTTTTATGGATGTCAATCAAATGGAGGCTTCCTGCAAACTAGGCTTAGGTACTAATTTATTTCCCAAACTAAGCTTAGATTGACCGAATTTTTCAAATTAAGCTGAAACGTGTTTATAAAACATGCTTTCAGCATGTTTCTGGCCCAACCGAACAAAATAAATAAAATCATAAAAGCGTGGTTAGAAAACACGACTTTAATTAAAAAAACCGCTGTTGCTATTAGTATTTTCAAGTTTAAATAATAGCGCGATTTGGAAACACGTTTTTAACAGGAAGCGTGATTTGTAACCACGCTTTTAAAGAAATATTTGCTTGTCCATCATATGAAATTAGTAAAAAACTGTTTTTTATTATTATTATTATTATTATTGATTTCTCTTTAATCCACATTCTATAATTCACTCAGTCATCTTTTAGATCTGTATATATAAATTATTCATATAAAATATCATATTGATAAACAATCTTAGCTACCAAATTTTATTATTTTAATATTTAAAAATAAATTATCTAATTTTAAAATTATGTTTATTATCCATTATTTTTTTAAAAAATGATAAAATTATATATACGATTATCAGATCAATTTGATATTTACATAAATAATTTATACATAAAATTTTTAAAAAATAAATAGCATGAATTGTCTAAAGAGTAGTGATTAAGAGCTCTAAAACTAGAGTTCTAATTTAAGCTCTAATGATGTAGCATAAAAAAATAAAAAGAAAACCACAAACAAGCAAGCATAAACATCATATCACATGGTGCGTCCCACCATTAAAGCTCCTCCTGGAGCTCTAAAATTAAAGCTCTCAATCATTTTTATTTTCTAAATTAGATGTATGACCATACGTCTTGCAAATAAATGAAAGTAAAAGTAAAATGATTAATGACGCAGTTCTGACACTGTCACACTATTATTGAACGGGAGAACTACATACAAGTAAGAGTTAGAGAAAAAACAATCAACACATGGAGGGGTATAAATAATACTTACATCTCTACAATTTTTCATTTACAACCCACCATAAACATGCTTATATCCACCATGCGTTAATAATTTTTTTTTCTCTTTTTTCTACCTAAATGTAATCCCCTTATTGAGAAATTCCAAAACCCAAAATGAAGAGATTCTCTCAACAACTTTCTGATTAGCCAAACAGTACCAGTTGGTACTCGCATAAAGTGTTATATTATGAATTTAAATAAAAATAAAAACAATGTTTAAATAGTACATCTTAATGTGTATTTAGAAGAGAAAAAATTGAATACACACATAATTTAATAGTACATATTAATGTGTAAACATAGAAAAAAGAGAGAAAAGATTAGGTACACATCTAACATTAATGTGTGTTTGGGAGAGGAAAGAGGAAAAAAAAAATGCTAGACCCCAAATATTTTATCAAATGTTCTATCAAATGTCTTACATGGGTGTGGGACCCACATAAATATGAATACTGTGTGTGGAAATTATTGACTAATGGGTCTATAGTTATTACTTTTAAATACTTAAGGAAGTTAAGATGGATGAAAACACTAATGAGATTGTGTTTGTTGAAGTGTTGTATAAACAACATCACTAATATCAAATTTTTCCTTTTCCCTTCCCCCTACATTTCGAAGCACCAAATGGGGCCGTTGAGAAAAATGAAAAGATGCTATCTAGAAGTTTATACCAGCATGTCGTAAAACTTGTGGTGTTTACAACATTCAAATTGATTATACTTATCAGATGAATAGTGTATTCTAAAATTATTGATGTTCTCAATTTCTCCATATGCTTGTTGACAGTTTTTATACATTTAAAATGATAATTGGGAAAAGAAATCAAAGCTGATTTTTATCTTTCCAAAGAACTATTATTTCTTTTGACAGAAATACCCTGTGCATAGTATACAAAATGATTGTTCCGAGACTTAAACTCATAATCTCAAAGATTATTAGACTAAGATTTTACCATTGAATCAATGATCACCGCTTATGACTTTAAAAATATAAAAGTAAAAAAGAATATGAAAAAATATAAATTAAATATTTACTTAATTTACCTTATTATTTTGTTTTTTAAAATTTTTATTTAAATTTATAATTCAAATATAATTTAAAAGAGATCGATGATGGACAAAAATAAAAACAAGAAATTAAAAATTAAAAAAGAAGAAGAAAAAAATGGCCTCGAGACACGCACCCTCCCCAGAGAACATTTCACGCAGTTTCAGAGAGATTTTCTCAGGGTTTTTTCCAAACTAAGCTCCTATACTAATTTATTTCCCAAACTAAACCTACTTTCGTGGAATTTTCCAAAGTAAATATTTGTTGTTCTCTTAAATATTTGTTGCCAAGAAATATTTAAATAAAACTTCACACAACATATACAAAGTATCTAATTTGCTAATTACTGCTATGAATAGGGAAACAAAATAATGGTATGACTATAATACTTATAACACTTCAAAACAACATAACTAGTTCAAGCATAAGTATCCCACAAAAATAATTTGTGGGAAACATTCAACATAACACAGTACATAAAAGAAAGCGATGAGTACAATACTTAACGGTTACATAGACAAATATTAGACAAATCTTTCACAAACTCATTGCTGAAAGAGTTATTTTAACACACACAATACATAATTATGGATAACCTGATATAATTTATTAGACAGATAGACACCTAATCCAGTCAGCTCAAATCGACAATCTCAAAGTCTGAATAATTTGAGAGCTCAGGGTCAGAGAGAAGTGTAGGATCCTCCTTGATAGCCTTGATAGCATCAGCATTTGGTGCTGTTCTGTTCTTCTTGGCATCCGACTTAAGTATAAATAGTTTCATATTGCAGGCTAACCTACGGTGCATTTGAGAAATCTCACGTCGAAGTCTTTCACATAGTCGATCAACATTATCTAGATCTTCCTTTTGGATCTCAACTGAACGTGCTTTTGGCACCTTTAGTTGATTTTCCCGACATAAGCTTTCTATTTGCACTCACTCTATAAGTAATGCGGGCCACTTCAGAAGTGTAGCGTCTGCTAAACCATATCCTGTTTGATTATCAGATGGATCTTCCACGAAACCACATGGATCTCGATAGTACTTGGGTATGTCAAAATGTCGCTTCCCAAACCTATCATGATAAGCACAAGAGGCATTTAACAAAGCAAATGGTTTTTCATCTTTAGCATCGCCACTTCCCCTTCTCGTTCCTCTTCCTTGGCGTGAACTCTCACCTCTTTCAAAGTTCCTACCCCCTGCGAGTCCCCTTCCCATTCCTCTTCCTCTTCGTGAACTCTCACCTCGGCGATTCCTACCCCCTGCCATGAATCTATACTCCATTTGATTTTTTCTCAATAAATGAACGATAGTTTCCTAGGGTGAACTGAGTAGAAAGGTTGTGTGTTTACCATCACTCCTTCAGTCATTTATATAGTTGTTTGTCAACACTATTGCCATGTGATCGTATTAATGTGACTTAGATGAGTTTTGAAATGTAAGGAAAAAACAAAGCATCTAAGTTGCGCTACACAAAGTCACATGCCATTAAAAGCCCACATATACCAACACATCTTTATGAGTTGTCATTGTAAGGACTAAACAATCAATGCTAAACACGCTCCACACAATCAGTACTTCAATCGTCACTTAAAAGTGACTACTCACTTTTTCAAAAAAGACCAATCATCC